AAGCCTAATTTATACTCCAAGGACTTCTGAGCCTTCAGAAATTCTGCTTCCCTCTTCCTGCAGAAGGATCTTGTTTGTAGTCCTTTTCTTTCCTGTCTGATGTAATCAGTTCTGCTCATTCTTTTCAACCTCTGCTTCTTGAGGTTAGGCTTTGTAATCTGTATATAAGTGTTTAAATGAAAATGATCTGGTTTGGGAGATTGCTGAGCACAAACAAATCCTGTTAAAATGAATGTGAATGGCAGATATTCTGCACATTTTAAACATATATAAATATGCATGTATATGTTTATAATATATATTTAGATACTGGAATATATGTATTTTAACTCCATAACTACTACTGAACACTGGCTAGCTTTTTACCAAACAGTTATTTTTCTGCTCTTTCCTATGACAAACTAAATTGCTGTTATAAAACCACTTAATGCTTTTCCAGGTGTTTTATGCCTTAGGAATAAGTGGCTACATGGCTTCAGGCATGCATGAATGATAGCACAATGTTTTAATGATGGTGAAGCATCTGAAAAGTTGCCTGCTTTATTTTAGGAAGAAGCTATCCAGCTTGTTGCGCTGGATCCGTTCTGCAGACTCCAGTTTTCTCAGGTCAATTAGCTGACTGAACTGTTTACTGGGCAAATTATTTATGTTAGCCAATAATAATTTGATAAAACATTCATGGACATTAATGGGCTTTGGAGGAGATTTAAAATGCGTGTCCTAAGTCCAAGTGAAGTTGACGAAGCTTTCTAGAACAGAATTTAGCAATAATAATAATAAAAAGCTGGGCTCCGTATTCATGACGTTGAACTCCCTCGAGAACACTTGAGAGCCTCTAATTCCCTCCAACTTCAACAAGAAGTGCCTTGTTGGATCTGGAAGAAATTACAAGGCTTCAGAGAGCCTGTACTATTGACAGGAATGTCAGTTCTTATCAAACTGAGCATGCTGGCAATAACTGCAACAGTGATCTCCCTATCTAGTTGGGTAGCAGGCCAGCACGGATAGCAAAGAGTAGAGGAATAGCTGAAAATAGCCTCATCTTGAAAAGGGAGCTGATGTCTTTTCAAGCCCGACAGTATTGTATTCAGTTTTATACTCCCCACGCTGGTGATTGTTATGGCTGTCTGATTCGCAGTGGTGAGGGACTGATCAAACATGTGACAAGCAAAGCAGTAACACAAGCCCATTCCAGCTCCGCAAATCAACAAGATTTCACTTTATTTTCAGGTCCAGTAATTGGTTATTTGTAATAAACTACTTTTTCAAAGTAACTTTGAGTCTGAATAGCTGGAGAACTACCTAGCAGTAAAACCTGTCAGGCTTCACCTAACGGAGACAGTAAGAACCCCTGTCCGTGGAGACATTGTATACCGAATTGGAAAAAGTCCTAAGAAAAAGGCCTGGGGGGGAGAACCCTTCTCTTGCACTAGTGTGACTGGCCTGCTGAAGTTGGCAGGTCTTCTAATGCTCTTATCATGCCAGTTGTGATTTTTATCCACAGTAAAAAGGCAGCTTACTGTCACACTGATTCACTGCAATAGAACACAAAACGAACCTTTAAAAAGATATCGACATTTCGGCTGTTCTTTTCTTTTTAACCGCTCAGCTTTGCCCCTCGCCCCTCCCGTGCTACTTTCCTTTCATATGCTATCGACGCACAGGGGAACTTTGCGCTGTCCCTGTTGCATCCCCCAGCAATCAGGGACGTTTCTGTCTGTACATTCAGCAACAGCCACACGTTAAAACAAAGCTTGGACTAGCTAACGGGACTGTATGACTGTTTGCTCTGTCTGCTCCCTGTTCTCAGCCCTTTAATCTTGCACCTCTTGGTTTTGACGGCAGGACGACACTGACAGCATTTGCTGCCAAGAGCAGATAAACCGTTCGATCTACTGGGCAGATGGCTTCGTATTCGTTTACTCCATCACGGACTATGAGAGCTACCGAGTCATCCGACCCCTCTACCAGCACATCCGCAAGATCCACCCGAATGCTAACATTCCCCTGCTCCTGATGGCCAACAAAGGAGACCTACTGCGAGCCAGGCAGGTGTCCTCCAAAGAAGGACTCCAGTTGGCCAGCGAACTGGGAGGCACTTACTATGAGGTGTCAGCCCGGGAGAACTGTGAGGGCGTCCACGAAGCCTTCCAGCAGATGTGCCAGGAGGTCAGCAGGATGATCGGGAGCTGCAACGGAGAGAAGCGAAGAGGCCTCCACCTCGTCCGACCCAAGTCGCCCAATATGCAGGACTTAAAGAGACGCTTGAAACAGGCTCTGACTTCTAAAGGGAAATCTGCCACTACGCTGTGACCGATGGAAATTGTTTGCCACACCCCTGGAAAAAAAGGCAAGAAAGCAAGCTGGTATTAAGGAGCATCTCCAAAATTCAACAGTCAGGTTGTGTGAGAGGGTCTTTCATTTTGTCTTTGCATCTTCCTTAAAAATCCTTTTTCATTCAGCAAAGGGACTTACTGAATGTGCTCTTTGGGGTAAGAATTCAGAAACTGTGATTTAAAAGATACATTGTCCTATTTCCTTTTTAAAAGGGACACAGTCAGATAGTTTAGGCCTAAAATGTAGTTTTTATTAATAAAAATAATTAAATCATACTATTAAGAGAAATGACTTCTCTTGGGGACAGAAGTATTCCCAAACACAGGTAATGAGCTATGGCAAGAGTTCAGGAGAACGACGTGAGCTATCCTGAGCAAGCAAAACTTGTAAGATCTCCTTAGCTGGCCCAAGACTGGAGAAATAAAGGCCAAAAGAAAATGAATAGGATAAATGGTGAAAAGTAATAATTAAAGACAGCTTTTAAATTGTAGTTTAGAAAGTGTTTGTAGCAACTTGGGGAGAGATTTGTTTATATGCAAGCTTTAGCCTTACAGTGTCTCTTTAAAGGCAGACTTTAAAAAATCACTGTTTGCTTACATGATTTTTCCTTAAACCCCGTGAACCCCTTGTGAACACTGAAAGTGTTTAGAGGGTAAGATACATACTTTAGCAGCATTTTGCAGTCAGTTTCTCTATGGTCTGCTTCTCATTTTTGTGTAGGTTTCCTACATGGCAATGAAAGAGGAAAAAATAGAAGAGTGTCATTGTAAAACTTGCAAACAAATGGACCATACTGATCAAGAGCAGAGAGGTGACCTGAAGCTATTTAGCTTTTTTTTTTTCCAAACTAGCTAGATTTCAAGTACAAGGCGCTGTTTGTAAGAAACAAGGCCTTCACACGAAGTCAATTTAATTCATTAGATCTTTTTTTTTTTTTAAAGAAGGAAAGGTTTTACAATGTCTGAAATTCCTAGCTTCAAGAATTTATCATTTTGTTATTCGCCCTAAGACCAGACTTTACTCAATACCTCGCAATTCAACCAAAATACCCGCCTGTCAATACATATTTCACTGGCAGCATCTTGCTGCACTGGGTCTCGGCACGTACCAAAAATGGTATTTGAAGCTACATCCCGTGATCTGGCCACTTTTATGGCAGCAGTAACAACAACGTGAAGCATCCATCATTCTGTTCTTAATGAGAGTGGAAGGCAACTGGGTTGGACCATGCAAAAGTCATGATGCAGCAATCTTTTTTTTTTTTTAAACAGACCATCCCAGAAATTCACAGGACCATGAAACAAAGTAAAGCTCAGTGATTTACGCTGAGGAACGGAGCAGGGAAAATCCGAGTTTGATGGATATAGAAAAACACTCTCAGCTGTGGTTTCAGAGGGCAACACAGAGCTAAATCAACCTTTTACTCATCATGAGCAGCAAAAATGTAAACTGAGTCTGATGAGTATCTATACAGCTCAGGGCTTGAAAATTTATTTAAAATTTTTCTTGTCCCTACTTTAGACCAGCCTACTCAGGATTTTCCTTATCACCTGGATTTGCTTTATCTACAGCTTACTTTCTGTTTTATTTATTGTTTTCCACAGCTGGTCATCCAAGAAAATCTTGTGTTCTCATTAATTTTAAATTCTTTTATTCACACAAAAAAAAACCCGCACTTTTTTTTAAAGGTAGTTTCAAGTGGCAATAAGGGGAAAAGAGAAAATTAGATCATCCATATTGGGACTATGAACATTATCACTGGACTTCTCCTTTAGCTTATGGTTTATTAGCAATTTGATATTTGAGTAGTGTCATTATTCATTGCTGGCACTTCAGTATTGCATTTACTGGCACAGAATTTCGGTATTTTAAATAACTAATAACATGGCTCAGATATTGAATCTTTAACACAAAATAGAGCAAACAGTTTCCAGGAGACACTAACTGAAATTTGTTATATCAGAAAAATGATCAGCAATTTTGAATAGCAACTAAATATTTTACCATTCTAGTACTGTGAAATAAAGGCTAAATTTGCTGAAGACAATTCGCTGACCACATTTGTTTTCAGAAGAGCCTGAGAGAATTAGGTGCTCAATCCTACTAAATACGGTTGCAACTTAACTCTTTCAGCTCTATTCCTTTCTTACTGGGGAAGAAAGTTCAAAACATTTCAAAGGTGTCAATGTCCTATTTTCAGTAGTGATTAATAAAAAAAATGCAAGGCCTTTCCTGACTAGTATATAAAATGGCTCCTTTAAATCTCACATCTTTAAATGTTTCTTGTTTATATTAAGCTAAAAACATTTCTTTCCTTCCTATAACCTAATACCCTGCTTTAGAAGTATACACAAGTATTTCTACATTTGTATTCCCGCAGAAGCAAGTATTCCCACATTCCGGCTGCACTGGTGGGGAAAAATCTACATTTTAGCTCAAGCCGAAAAATACTGAAACGTTTTCTTCTCCTGAATACTGACATGTGGTAAACATTTATTCTGCCACAGGAACTTGGGTATAGTATTTCCTTTGTTCACTGACCAGTAATATAAGCCTTGTAATAGCTTTGGCGCTGGTTTTAAGCCAGACATACCATCTACAGAAGACAACAGAACGCAGCGTTTTTAATAGCAGTGCACTTACGCACCAGAAGGCACCACTTTGGCCACTGGAGCTGAGCAAGGCTGGGGAAGGAGAACGGTAGCATGAAAAGCAGGGAGAAGAGTCCAATGTAGAATTGCATGCCTAAAAATAATCACGTAAAGCATCAAAGATTAATCATGTAGAACCTGATCCTGAATTGGTATCTTCAGAGCATATTCTACTGATGGTTTAAAACTAAGCCTCTAGAAGGAAGGTACTTAACACAAAGTCCGGAGAGGAAAGGAAAAAAGATGTGAGTTTTTTATTGTGGGTATCAAGGCAAATTTTCTTCTCTGTTATACTAAGTCCAGATTAACTCTGTTTGTGACAATACCAAGAGCAATGAGCCATAGAATTCACTCTTTTTTTTATGCCTCTTTTTCATTATCCTGCACAGTTTAAATCTTTGGCAGCATCTGGTTTTCAAGATGGTTTACAGCTGGGTTTACTTGGGCACAAAGCAGTTGAGTGATTTGCCCCAAGGTTACACAGATGAGCAAGTACTTCAGAGGAGCTCAAAAACTGGCCTTTGTGATTAATTCCCAACTCTTTACAACAACTACCAGACCATAGCACCTCCCTCAAGGTATGCACAAAGCACAGTGAGTTGTATTACACAGGAATGTAATTAAAAGTTGGAAAAAGTTACTTAAATTACAAGCTATGTTAGGAACTGACTGAGTGAAATATTACTGATATGCTGGCACTGTGCACAATTATAGTAATACTGAAGCTGGTTTGTGAGTTATTGAAGTAAATGATTATTTTCAGCAGTATTTCTCCGTTGTGTTTCTCATACGTTTCTAGCGATCCCCCGTGGAAATACAGTGGGACTTGGGAGAGAGGAAAATCTAGCTCTATTTTTAACTTCTCCTATGACTTGCTTGGTGATCTTGGCCAGCTCCCTCAATCTAAGTTACCATGTCCATAACTAAGAATAAGGTTATTTATGCATCTTTCCAATGTGCTTTAGCACCCACAGGAAAGAATGACCAAGCATTACAAACAGATGAAATTGCCAGCATTTGCAGCGGCGATGGCTTAAATCCTAACATCCAAATTCAGAGCTTGATTCCAGAATCCGCCAACACAGAGCTGTTTGGATCCCACGTTAATACCCGAAGTATGTTAAGCATATGATCAAAATGGACAATTCAGATCTTGAATTCAAGGAACAACTCAGAGCGATATATTTGTATCCGGGGTTTTGCCCCAGGTACCTGGCTGCTCATGGGATTTATGTCAGGTATACAACTGGAGAGGGGGGAGCACCTTTCTGAGACAGCAAAAGTTGCAAAAGGTTGACTGAAAGCCTGCCAGCTTATTGTTACAGCTGAATTTTCCTATGCCCAATGGCAAGCTCAAAGACTTTGGGTCAAGACCATATGGACTCCGTTGGAGTCGCAGCTATGTTTGCAGAGCTGGCATGTGACCCTGAAGCTGCAGAACATAATGACATATTTGTTAGTTTTTAGCTGCTGCTGTATTTTCAAGGTGTTCTTACGAGATGTCCATGTCTCTTTTGGGGCTAGCACAGGACAGCCATGCAATTAAAAGTTAAAAAAGATCTTCAGATTCACTCTAAACACCTCAGAAGCGGGGACAGTGGTCCTAGAAAAGACTCTCCAATCTATCTTTGGCGAAAAAGTGAGACTGTTCCTTTGATATTTTTTCACCCTCTGTTCACACCGGTTCTTTCATTCCTTTTCCCTCCTCATTCATTCCCTCCTTTGTCCTGGTTTAGTTTAGTTTGCAAGCTGAAACTATTCTGCAATCATTCTTCCTTGAGTTTAGAAGCATATTTTCTGCTGTTTAGCTTAAAATCTATTTCCAAGACTTTAACTCCAAGTAGACATGGTTTACATCAAAAGAAGAGTGTCTGCTTAGCCTTTTGACCTTATTTACCTAAATCATTTTAAATCACACCTAAATCAAGTCAGTGCAACCCTGTATTTAGACAAACCTTTGGATTCATCCCATTTTTCCCCAGACGCTCTCATTGGCTTAGCCTAACAGATCCTTCCTCTGTTGTGTGCGTACAACATTAAGCTCGTTTGTGTTGTTTAGTCATTGTTTATTTAAACCTGCTTGGTTCTTGTAGAGTTTGATAATTTGCTGCTCTTCTCTGAAATCTCTTCAGTTTAATCAAGCAAGTTCTCTTTTCTAAGCAGCAGTGCAAGCTACAGATGAACTCAGAACAGCTGCTGATTTTCTGCTCTGTCAGATTTTTGCCCATTCTTGAAGACTTTGGAATAACTGGGAGCATGGAGAGAGGTGCAGCACACAGCCCTCATCTCCTTTCATCTTTCCATCTCCTCCAGTGACAATAATTTGAACAATCCTTCACGTAGTGGACAAAGTTTATCTTAAATGATAGCGTATCAGCATGGGTTCCTACAGATGGAAAAAACACAAAGTATGGAGCAGACAGATGAGTTGGTAGGCTTCTGTAAACCCTAGGATCCAATTCGTTTAGGAGCTGTCATACCAAACCTCTTTCCTTTAGAAGATACATTTTTTACATTTTCCATTTTATCCAAATGCATTTCAAGGCACGGCCTCTGGATCTCGTCACACAGACACTTACTGTCTCCTCTGTGGCAGGTCGAGGGGAAGCTGCACATTTTCCAAATGTGATGGGTGAAAGTATGCATGCCTTGTGCTGCTGTTGTGGATGACCGTGGAGACTGTTCCTAAGAACAATGTTTTTCTTCTTTCTGGGTAATAATGCAGAACACTAGCAATCAGTAACTGGTCGTTTTGAAAAGATGTGAGTTTTGTTCACAGTGGGTCTGGAGACACACTGTACTTTCTCTGCTGGATAGAAAGCTCACCAGATAAGTGGGGGTTGGGCCTGTTCTCATGCAGCCTTTGAACTTCCACAATGAGAGCTGAATTATGTCATTTTTTGATTGTGATCCAGGTTTCCAGATGCATGCAGGAGCCACCACTCTTCACACTGTGTTCTGCATTGCGTTTCACTTCAAAATTCAGTATTTCCCTGTGCCATCATGAAAAAGAGAAACAACTTTGGAATATCACACTGAAGTGCAACAGGCCATTCCCTTAGCCCTTCATTTTTGATGAAGACCATGGGTGCCTGAGCTGTTTTTTCTATTTGTTGGGGAGTCTGGGACCAGAACTCATATTCATGCTTTATAAGCAAAGGCTTCATCACTTCAAATGAACACAACTCTCCATTACTTAATTAACAGAGCAAGGTATACCATGATACAGCTCAGTCGTTCTGTGACTGTCAGTAAAGAGCCCTGGGACAGGGAAATGAGAGAGGCATAAAATCTCAGAGTTATGCTCCTCTGTGTATTCTGTTTTTCTGTAGGGCAAAGATAGACTGACTTTCCCTCAAGCGCTTGGAAAAATAATAAGCTGGTGGCAGTGCTGAATATAAAGCAAGTGGTGATGGCAAGTCTAGCTCAGCTGTCTGTGCTCCAGCCCATCTGTTTCCCAGGGTGGTGGGGGGGGAGGGTCAGTATTTGTAAGAAAAACTTCCCAAGTGCAAAAAAAGTGTTGACTGGGAAAACAGGAGTTCTCTGAGTCAGAACTGAGCCGACGTGTCGGAGCTATGTGTCTGGAGGTGCTCGCCGAAATGGAAAAGCAGAGCCCAGGCCTCGGAGAGCCGTTAGCGTTTCCCATGGATATCC